GTGGTTTGGGATAGCAGGTTTTACTTTAGAACTTCAGCTGACTGGCACCTGCTCTACTGTCACAGCTCAAGTGAGAAGCAGGAACCCAGAGGAACACTAGGATGTTGCAAAAGCTTCTTTAACCACCTGACCATCACACATTCCAAACATTAATGTTGCTGAAATGTTGCAGACATCAGCTGTTCTTCAGACTTATCAACTTAATATGAACCAAACACATTGCTGTTATTGAAACCCTTCTGTTTTCACGGCACCTCACTTGTTTTTTAACAAATCTGATAATGGCCAATATCAAAATGCAGAGACATTGCTTGTTTCAAACACTGCCTCCATTGGGAAAAACAAAACTGCAGTCCCTGATTTGTCTGGAACATGTGACATTGAGGAGACAGGCAGCTCTAACAGCCACATGTGATGAAGGTGGGAGAGAGGCTGAAGAAAATCGCCACATTCAGAAACCACAAGCAGAAAGATGCAAAAGAGTTGAAGGATTGGGTTGGTGTTTTTTTCTTTTTGAGTTGTAAATTCGAAAAACTGCTGAAGCAGTGACAGAATACAGAAAAAATTAAATAGTATTTTCATAATTTATGCTCCAATTCACCAATGATTAATATAATAAATATGAGCACTATCTTTAATTGTTACAGTGATTCCTAGTAAGACACAAGTTTCTTTCTCCTCCACTATTCCATCTTCCACATTGCTAAGAATGTCACATACTTATTGCCACAACTTGAGATAAAGTGTAATCCGTATGTAGACACAAGCTTTATCTTCTTTTTTATGAAGTATAACAATAGTTAGGTCAAGGAAATGCTACTTTAGAAGGGTTTTTTTTAATGCCTCTCTCTTGTATATATATGTGTGTATATACAGACACAGATATTATTCATGTATGTGTATATATTTTATATTTATATATATATATAATGTTTAGTAGAAAGCTCCCAAACACTTATCAATCCAGTTTCCCAGATCTGGAATTTCATCTGACTAATAACAACCTGTCAGCTTTAAATATTGGACTATTTGTCTCCCTGTGTCCAGTGCCTGAGATCTTGTTAATTACCTAAACTCCCTTTCTGTAGGTCTTGTTAATTACCCGTCTCCTGTCTCAGAGGACCTTGTTAATAACTTGTACAGTCTCTCTAAAAAGGTCCTAATAACACATTAAAATTAAAGATGCTTTTCTTTTAGCACTTGTCAAGTGGTGTAAATTGAGAAATTTTCACATCAGTTTATTAGCCTGTAGTGTAGTGTCATGTGTTTTCCTAAACAAAAACAATTTCAGAAAAACGATGCACAAGCTTTGGTTATGGCACAAAACAATCTTTGTTTTGCCCTCAGTTTCTTTAACTGTGTTCAACACAAAAGCCACGTGGCTTCTGACTGCAAATTAACCTCCTGAGAGCCACAATAGCAGTAATTGTAAGAATGAGTGCAATTTAAGGCAATATTGGGTAAAAGTTTCAAAACAGTGCATTAAGAAGTACAAAATCAAAATTATTATTGGTAAATGCTGGATAAGAGCACTGGACATTCTTTGCTTAAAAATTCTTCATTTGCTTTATGAAACAAAACCTCTGGAATGAACAGATTTTGTAGCATTTGCAAAACCAGCATTTTTTGTTTCACTATGAGACTATTGCATTTTTAAATTGTCAAGAAATCAGCTCATAAATATCTCTACTATGCCTACAACAGACAATGGAACCCCCAATCTTAACACTTACGTAACACTGCGATATCGTATCTACAAAAACACTTTAAAAATACTCATTTATCCAGTCAGCATTTACAGGCAAAGTATCATCCCTGTTTTACAGATTTAGCCAAAGCCAGGGAACAAGCCTTTGCCAGGTCAGAGATGAACAGAAATGAGGAGCCTATATTTTGTGATTTCCTGTCAATAAGTATTATATACAAACCAAATAGGTTTTTGTTTTGGTTTTCAAAAATACTTCTAAAACCTTCTTGTAACAATAATAAATGATAGCAATAAAAATAAAAGATAATTTTCAAATAATCCCGGCATACTTGCTTTCAGAAAAAAAATCCTACAAGTGTTGCTGAGCCCCTTCTATAATTCTTGGATCAGCAGCTGAGCAACACGTGGAAGATGTACTTATCTTCATTTGTTTAATTAGTAAGTAAGAGTAATTAGTGACAGAGCATGCAGCCAGCCAAGCACTGCAGGATGGGCTGTTCAGCAGCTCACCCAGCTGATGCCATCAGCTGTTCTCCACATTGTTACTGCTCACTCAACATTACCAACCACAATTAATTAGGATGGACTTAAGCCTGACCCAAAGTTCACCCAAGTCACTGAAAAGCTTCCCCCCAAGGTTACAGATGTGGCTTCACCAGCGCTGAGAATGTGACAGTCACACCACAGACATGAAGGAGCTGGGTTTGCTGGATTTCTTTTGAGGGACGGATGCTATGGGCTGGCTTATTTTCCTTCCACTTTTTTCTATGTCTAGCCTGGTCCCACAGACTGGATGTTTTATGGCTCCAGTGTGCTCCTGGAATACATCCTCCAGCAGGATTTCATCAGACAGGAATCCAGCTCAGGATGCTCCATCACCCAAACCAAGGCTGGGTTAAGTGGGAGATCTGCCTGCAAAGCAAACACCTGATCCACAACAGAACACTAATTTTAGACACACCTTAATAAAAATATACTGCCTGCTTTATATGCAGAAATGGGATTCATCCAAAAGAGCTTAACAGCACATTGAGTAAATAAAAAACAACCCAAAGACTAAATTCCCTGTCGACTCTTTCTGCATACTGAATTTGTTACCCAGCCTCATTTATTTTGGGCCCAGATATTCATACAAATTCTTTCTTCAGTACTACTAGTTCAAAAAATAAAAAAATGGATTCCATTTGAGAAATCCTCCACAGATAAAAGGTAAACTTAAACTGTAAACTTATTAAATATGCACATTTTGTATTAGTTTCTACTTCAAAAGAAAATAATTCTATAAGATGCATTTAGAAGAAAGTAAACTAAGTCTAAAAGGTTCACAAAGAACATCATAATGGAAGATATAAAAATCAAGAGCATCTAACTTAACTTATTGCATGCCAGATATTATGACATAATAGCTGTTTCACAAAAAAGGTCAGAATGTTTACTGGTTTTGGCTTTTTTGAAAATAAAATAATATCTATTTGTCTTATCAAAAGTTTATGTTTACATAAAAGTCAAGAACTAGTAAAAGGGACTCCCATACAAAGACAGAAACAAATTACTGTAGTCCTTCTGAATGGGCACTGTGATGAGCTTTTTAATTACAAAACAAAGAAAAAAAGTCCATCATGATTATCATTAAGTTTTATATTTATCAAGATCTGCTGCATTCAAGAACTTCAAAAGATTTCACTACTTATATCTAGCATCTGCCTGAATACAGTGTTTCATTTCAAAAAATTAAATGCTATGCAATTTTAATTGTTATTTGAATTATTTCTCTTTAAAGAAACTTAAATGGAAGTTTAACTTCTGACAAACCAAGCTACAACTTAACCTAATGCAAATTCAGAGAAATACTTCATTAAATAACAAATATTCTAAGATTGTCTATAAACATGTTATTTAAGACACTAGAACCTGACTGGATTCATAGAAGGCACTAAGAAGAAAATTTGTTGAGGTCACATGAGCTTCTAGCAACAAACTCTTTTCTACATCAGTTCAATTTCAGTTCATTTTCCTAATTCACATCCATGATTAGTTTTGATAAGAAAATGATTCTAAGTTTAAATCAGGAGTGCATGCATTCTAACCCATGAAGAAAACTGAGCTGGGACACAATAAGATCCCTCATTTCTAAGAAAACAAGGTAACAAAAATCCTTCTTTTAAAAGAAACGACTTGAGTCATTAATTAAGGAATTAATACACAGGAAAAGGTAAATTTTTTAGAACTATGCTTTCCATTTAAAACGGTGATTGATTTTATAGCCTTTAGATTCCAGTTTGAAGCATTTTAATTTCAAATGCATTTTCTACCAAATTTAAATCATTACATAGAAATGAATCATTACCTTGAAATAGCAAGGACTGCTATTTTCTGGTATTTATATAAAAAAAAAAAGAATGCAAAGGAATGGAAGTTAATTAACTTAAACATTTGTCTATTGTGAACCGTATATGTGGGTGGCAGTGTACATAAATATATATATATTTATGCATGTATAAAGAGAGACAGACAGGCAAGATTATCTTTCTCACAAGCATACAGAACCCAGGAAGGAAACTAACAGTGGGTTACACATTTTCTTAAGGAAAACAAGTAAAGCATTGATAGACAAACAAAGATTAAAATGGATTATTGAAATCAAAGTTCCTTATCAGTCCTGTAACTTAATTCATTCTGCTCAAGACATAAACTGCTGCCTCGTGCAATAATTTCAATGTACAGAACTCAGCAAAGCTGCAGTGAGCCAAATGAATTCAAGAGAGATAAGAGTTCATGTGGGTGCTCCCATTTAGAAACAGAATGTTCTTTAATTCTTGTATTCCAACATATAGAACTTAAATACCCCTTTGTTTTTTCCCCTACCCAAATAGTGACATCCACAGGATTTCTTTTCACTACTCCCATTTGCACCATTCTTTTATTTAGACAGTTTCCTCCTCCCCTTACGTTTGAAACCTTTTCCTCTCCAAACCCGACTTAGAGCAATGTAATAAATTAGCAACAAATGTTCAGGTAAAGCAGAAGACTTCAGGGAGAGCCCATTCTGAAGCACAAACAAGGTCTTCCACAAACACAAGCACCCAAGAACTTTCACAGCACATATCAGCAATAAAGAAGTCACTTCAAAACAAAGTAGGAAACAACCAAATTATATAAAAAGTTTGTAACATAGAAACAGAAAAGCACTGATATAAACGCATATAAAGCACAAAGATTGTGTTCCTCAATACTTCACATTTTCATTTACATAACATTCAAGATATCAGATTGAAATACAGCAAAAACCTACCTTGAAGATGGCAACATGCTTGTAGGCTTGAAGTTTGCCATAAAAGGATTAGTCGAATCATAATCAAAACTCTCCTGATGAGCTTCCCCAAACGCACTCGGTGATTTCAAGTCACTAGAACTCTCTGATCCCCCATTGCTAAGTTTATCTGACCTCTTGCTATCTTTTTTTCCAGTCACTCTTTCAAAAAGACTAACTTTCTCTTTTTTCTCCTTTTTAATTTCTTTTCTGATCTCGACAGGTTTGGAAAACAGACTTATGTTTTGATCCCACGTTGCTGGGCTTTCTTCAAATGGATTCTTCTGTCTTGGCAGTGTAGCAAATTTTTGGGGTAATGAAGCACTCACATTAAATGGGTCATTTTGTGCTTCAAGTGCAGTTTCATCAACTGTGCTGTCAAGTTGGCTCATTTTAGAAGTATCAACACTTAATGTCCTTCTGTGTGGAGATTTTAGACTCCCTGCAAACAATCTGTCATTAGTACATTATCAATGAGACACTATATCACAGTTTATGACATGCAGAAAACCCATTTTAGCATAGATCTAGAAGCTTTGCAATTGAGCCTCAGTTCAGAACACTGGTGATTAACTAAGCTATTAAAAAAAATAACAGCTGTGGCCTTGATTTCATGTTTCAGAAATGTTTATGGATAGGCACCACGGGAAATTTTTGCTTCCTGCATGAAAATGAAGTTCTACAGAGAAGACAGCTATGACTGGTGTGCCATTCCAGAGACAATAGTAAGAAGTTGCATAATAACATTGAGCAATTCTAAGTATTTTCAGTTTTTTTGTATAAATCAGGTTTAAAATTTGGTGATAGTTTTTGACTTTTTAATTAGACTTATTTCTCAGAAGATGCTATTTTGCCTAGAGTCCCCTCTGGAATGCAATATACTCTCAGATGAGGACATAATAAGAGAAAATGCTAAACTATCATACATCATGAGCAATGCAAGTTATTTCTTATACTCAGAAACAGCAATTATGAGTTACCAGCAATTAAAGAAAGCAATTAAATAAAAAAAAAAATAGGCCAGCAATATTTCTTAACATTTTGGCCTTGTAAGTGCTTCATAAACTGAAGTAACAGATTCTGAATGCTCTAACATAAGTGAGCTGTAATTGTAATGGTCATGAGTGTTACTTACCCCCTTCATCAACAGAACCAAAGGACTCCAGCTGACGCCTGAAAAGATGGGTGTAGCCAACAGTGCTGGATTTCATCTTCTCTGAGGAGACGTGGGGTCCTGTCAGGTCTGACATGGAGTGAGCTGAGGACAGCCGCTGAGGGCCCAAGAGGAAAGGTTTTTTTGGTTTTGATTTCATTTGCACTTCACCACTACACACCTCTAGGTTTGCATCATCAGGTATGTGAGTGCTTGGGATGATTGCAGAGGATGTATCTGAAAACGTCCCATCGTTTTTCCGACCCTTCATTTTGTCTTTTAGTTTAGCAAATGGGGATTTGGTTTTGTCCTTCATTGACAAATCAAACATACTTGCTGTCATGTTATTCCTCATAAACTGAATATTGACGTTGATTTCTCCTCTGTCTTTAGTTCTCTTCCCTTGTCTGGATTCTAGGGGAAACCACCTTAAAGGAGAAAGAGAGCAAATTAAGTTGTGTTTTCTCAAGGTTATCATTGGTAGTTGCTTAATGCATCTGGTTAGAACAATTTAAAGAATGAAAACCAAAATCCTACATCAAAGATTCAACCATTCCTGCAATGAAAAACTTTGTTTATATTTGTATTCAAAGACAACTTATTTGTTTATATTTGTTTTCAGCAAAAACTTCTTTCTTTATATTTGTTTCAAAACTAAATAACAAAGCAAGAGGAAGCTTTTTACAGTGTTCACCTGTTTCAAAATCAACTCTGGAAGCTGACAAAACATTACCAAAGTTAAGGGCTTCCATCCGCTTATGGAGCAGAATTTGTACCTTATTATAAATACAGATACATTTTCTTTTTTTTTTTAATAGTCTTCAAGTGTCCTTTATTTAGTAGTGATGTATATTAATGTATTCTATGTGGCACCTACTTGATCTAGTAACCTTGTCTCCTTGGTTTTTCCTCAGTTTTACACACTAGCAAACATTTTCCCCTCTTTCCTTCTTTCCAAGAACTGGTTAAGATTTATGACAACTGCAGCAATGCTGGCTAAGAAATATCTGAGAGCCCTGAACAGTCAGCCACCATTTCAATTCTGCTCTGCCTCCTCCCTGGATGCTGACAGAAACTCCACAGGCACAACTGAGCACGTAGGTGTATCCAACAGCATCCTCTCTTTTGCAGGTCACCAGCAGGATTAACTTCAGAAATATTTCCTTTGGAACCATGACATAAATCCCCACTCCTTGAAAAGAGATCAAAGGTGTGATCATCTGTTTCAAAAAGCCAAGTGTGCTTCTTTGCCAGGTCCAGCAAAGGCTTTATCATTATCCAAGTGTCTTATTCATTCCCTATTGTGCTCCATTGTCCCATGGAAGCATCTGCAGAATTATGGCTCAATCCTCCCTCCACAGCTTCACCTAAATGAATGACCAACACACAATCCCTTCTCCACAACCATCACCAAGAGCCTTTCCTTATTTCAAAAGGTCACAAGGGCATATTTCAGATCCACCAGCTCTAAAGAAGTGCTCTAACTCACTGTCAGGAGAAATCCATGCACACAGACTCACACAACAGTGCCTTACCACCAGTAACTTTTGAATTGGAGAGACGAAGAAATTAAATTGCCTATTAACACAGATACAGAATTGATTATACAGTTATACATACATTATTCAATCCTGCCTAATAAAGAAAAAAAGGTCAGGAAAGGAGAAAAATAGCCCTTAATTTATCTTCAGATTTCACAGATATATTTTAAAGGTGACAGCTGTAATCAAGTTTTCAGGCAGAGATTAAATGTTTTGAGTTGAGAAAATACTTCCAAAAGTGACACACCAAAGACATAACAAAAGGGTAAGGAGTATTATTATGCCTTTTCTTATTTTTTGATGTTGCTTTGTGAGGTTCACAAGATTTTATATTTCATACTAAAGGAAAATAATTAATCAGACCTCCTCTGTTCTTGCAATCAACAATATAAATCCAGACCAGTAGACCCAGAAGCTCAAACCAGGTGAAGGATAATTAAATCTTTAGGAAAATAGCTTTTCTTCTGTTGTGAGGTAACTTCATTTATATACTTTAAATGAAATACAAAACCTGGAATATGTGTCTGAAGAAGATGGATTGTTTTTCCTTTTAGTTAATAATGCTTCAATTCTTTGGTAACTGATTCCAGAAACACTTTAAGTCATCTACAGAGTTGTTACAGAAAACAAAAACAGAACCAAAAGTCAATTGTCTTTGTGCTACATAATATTGCAAAAACTGGAAGACAAGATAGCCTACTTTCATTAAAACTCTTCTTTAATAGAAAATATGTTCATATATTCCCTTAAAAAATACAAACAGTACACAGCCATAATGAGCAAGCTTTGCTCAGACAGCTCCTGGGCAGGTAAAAAAACCCAAAGAAAAACCATCCTGGACCTGAGAAAGTCCTCCCACAGCTCCTCAGCCACACACTAAACATACACCCCAGCACAAATAAGGCTCATGAGTGGTTTAAGAAAGTCAGGAGGCAGAAAGGACTTCACTTTTTGACATGGAAATTTAGTATCTCAGTCTACACTGTAACAAAACATTCCCCTTTTCCCTCTCCTCACAGGGTTCAAACATTAATACTCTATCTCTGATAAAACTGGTGAATTTTTCTGTTTCTGCTTCTGAATGATCAAAACCTTAAATTGATCCATGACACTTAACTTGTTTTAGAACAAGTATAAGACATAAATTCTTAAGCTTTTGCAATGGGGAAGAAGGTATTTTATTTTAAAAACTTATTTAACAATTACTGGCATTCTTATAACTAATCAACAACACTGTGTCATTACCAGCACTCACCTGCTAAGGGCAAATGCCATGAACCAATTTGACATTTACCTCTTCTTAAAGAGAAGCCCACAACTAAGACCATACCTTCATAGCTTCTACATTTATTTTCAAAGTATATCTTGAAGAACTTGACATTAAAAATAAGTCCAGGTGGGAAAACAAAGAAACTCTCCTTTTCCTAGGAAGACAACAGAAGGTCCTGCTGGAAGCAGGTTCAACACTGCTACTGATTCCAACACAATTTAATCATAAACTCTTTTACTCCAGCAAAATTCCTTTGGTCTTCAGTGGAATTTCTGTTAGAATAATGATTGCTGGATCAAATCTTTGTATGAAAGACAGACATTTAATTTTCATAGGCATTTCAAGGAGGTTTCTTTGTTACCTTGGAGAGTTTATCTTGTTTTACTTATAATGAAGGTTCCATATGCTTCAGCTCATAACAAGACAATATGAGAAGCAGACTCAAATCATGATTTTCTTCAAAATTCAAAGGCAACTAATTACTTTTTTAAACAGATGAGAACAAATGCAGGCAATCCATTTATGTGGAACTGCACGTGAATGAGCAACTAAGACCATAAATGTTTCTTATTAGAATCTGTTTCGACAACACATGGGCGTGAGCAGCAAATAGAAAAAACAGCTCTATATAGGAGAGAAAAAAAAATGGGGAAATGAAGTCCACTGTTTTCAGATAACAACATTTGGGTCCTAAAACACTAAATTCCATTATACTACTGCCAATTTTAAAAATTGAAATGTATTATAAAAGCCAATAAAACTTGCTATTTTGGTTTTGTTTACAGTACTTTTAGCCACAATAAATGCTCCATTTGTCAGGCTGCCATGAGCTTATTCTATAGAAAGCCTGTACAAAGTAGGAAAATAGCCAATAACATACATGAACAAAACAGGGTGGCTTTTATGAGAGCAGATGCCCTTTTACTTAATAACCAAATATTACATCCAGTCTTGCAGACAGTCTTTATTTAAACAGACCTTGTACAAAGTCTGGCAAATTTTCCCAACTTCAAAGGAAGCCCTATTGCCTTTGGAATCATTCATTCTTCTTGCTCTCACCTTCAAATGTTCTGTAGGGCAATGTCCTCCATACACCCTCTAATTTCAACTTTTTCCCGATGGCTTCCATCAGAACAACCCTTGTTTCTTTGTCTCATCTGTTTTTCAGTATGCTAATGGGCTTTGCCTGTCTTGCACAGGTTTCTGTTAATTTTTATTTTTAAGTATTCTATAAATGACCCCTCTGCACGCTGACAATTTTCTTGAATGTGCAAAGAGCTAAATAGGAATTGAACGTGAAAGGCTAAATAGGAAAAATCCTGCTGACCAGGCAGCCCTGAAAAGGGCTGTACACCCCTCTGTGAAGCAGCATGGCTACTTTCTACCATGACAAGATTAGTTCATTTTGGCCACATCTACAGCTAGGGGTGGAAAAGCAAACTCTCCTAACTTGTGCAGTCTTACCACTAATGAACCCTCACCTTGGGGAGGACAGACAGGAAGGGCGAAGGAGAAAACTGAAATAAGCTACTATAAATGAGCAAGTTACAAAACCCTGGCCTGTCTATTTCATTTAAATAGCTAGTGATCTATAGATTTTCAGCTGTTTTTTTCCTCCCCTTTTCTGATTCTATTTGTCCTCCAAATCTGCCACAGAATCTGACACTTCCAAGTCTTATCCCTCTCTCTCCTTTGAAGAAGCATCACTCAGCCTGTTCAGCTCACCATGTAAGAGTGAGGAGGATGGGCTGACAGCATGGGTAAGAAAAAGCACTACCTAATTTCAATTACATTTTAATTATATACTTTCACAGCCTCCAAAACCACTGGGTAACTTATCTAGCAGTTTCAGCAGGAATTAAGTGTTCCACCCAGCACATTCATCCTGTGCATGACAGATGAACTCCCAACTCTGTCTTCTGGACAGTGCCAAAGATGGAAAGTATTGAAGGAATTTTCCCATCTTTCTGCTTCTCAAATACACCACTCTGCCTTGACTCTACCAGTAATTGTCTGTTGAGCTAATCTAGTTTTGCTTTGCTGAAAAACCCAAATAATTTTGCAAAATCTTTATTTCAATTCACAAATTACTGAAGAAATTTTGCAAAAAGCCACATAATCATCACAGCATCTGCAAAGGCTTCTGACCTTGATTTTACATGCAAAAATCAGCACTGTGATTTGCTACACATTTAATTTTCTATACAGGCAGGTACTTCTAAACTTACCCCTATAAAAGACCATCAGAACCTCAATGATAGAACATGTCCATCAGCTGTCACAAAAACAAAGTTGATGACTACTGTTAAACTAGATACACTGAAGTAACTTGCTTCACAAAAGCCCACTAACATAAATGTCCACAGCTAATTGATAAAAAACAACATCCAAAGCCCAGAACTGTCTGACATTTTCATTTAGCAGCGTATGCACTTTGAAAAATGCAGAAGTATGTTTTGTGATAAATCATTCCAGTACCCTACTGAGAGGCTGCCCCAAAAGTCAGCAAGTAGGAAAATTAAGGCAAGGGGCTGAGCACAGACAACATCGTGTATGAAGGGAAATGAAGAAGAAAACAAATTATTTGTTAAATTAAGTGATGACACTCACAAAGATG